GAAAGAGTGATGTGGGGGGGCTTGGTGTTGTCACGGTAACCTGTGCTGCACCCTGCCCCTGTGCCCAACCTGTGCTGTGAAACCTGAGGCGTGGGCTGTTTCACGGCAAACGGGGTTGGCAAGGCATTCCTTGTCTCTTATCTCACGCAACAGCAGCCTCCGAATCTTGCAGCAACTAAGCAGGGAGTGTGACTCCTGCTGCTAGACACGATGTTCCCTGCCAGGGTCATGGCCACGTTAGTTAAGCCAGGAGTTGAAACATAATAGACCAGGGGTGTCAAACATGCGGCCTGGGGGCCGGATCAAGCCCCCGAATGGGCTTCCATCAGGCCCGCGGTGGAACTGGGCATCTCCTGCTTCCATTTCTGCTGCTGCTGCATCATCGCTTGCTTCGCCAGACTCTCTTAATCACTCAGTCATTTCATGTTCTAACCTGGGTCCTAGACTCAGGACTCTGAACATGAGATTTCTGTGGCGGATGTCAATCAATCAAAAGTAGGTTTGCAGCTTACAGAGCTAACGTTTTAAGCATGTTTTTATTTTAAGTCAAAAAATAACCCTTTGTGTTTGTGTCCTTTATAACATTTATATCTCCGCTACAAGGCATTACATTTTATGATACACGTGACCTGGCCCAACAAGGTCTCATTTATGTCAGGTCCGGCCCTCGTAACAAATGAGTTCGACACCCCTGTAATAGAATATTGTTCTGCCAGTTTGGTGTAGTGGTTGGTTAAGTGTGCGGACTCTGATCTGGGAGAACCGGGTTTGATTCCCCACTTCTCCGCATGTAGATGCTGGTGTAACTTTGGGTCAGTCACAAGTTCTCTCAGAGCTGTTCTCTCAAGAGCCGTTTCTGTCAGAGCTCTCTCAGCCCCACCTACCTCACAGGGTGTCTGTTGTGGGGAGGGGAAGGGAAAGGAGTTTGTAAGCCGCTCTGAGACTCCTTTGGGTAGTGAAGGGTGGGGTATACATCCAGTCTCTTCTTCTTCTTTTAATCTGGGAGAACCGGGTTTGATTCCCCGCTCCTCCACATGCAACTGCTGGTGTGATCTTGGGTCAGTCACAAGTTCTCTCAGAGCTTTTCTCTCACGAGCAGTGCTCAAAAGCGCTCTCTCAGCCCCGCCTACCTCACTGGGGATGTCTGTTGTGGGGCGAGGAAGGGAAAGGAGTTTGCAAGCCGCTCTGAGACTCCTTTGGGTAGTGAAGGGTGGGGTATAAATCCAATCTCTTCTTCTTCTTCTTCTAACATTCGGACTCTGGGTAACCTAGAAAGAACCAGGTGCAGTCGGCTTTCTTTGGCTTAAAAGGAAACAAACTTCTCCATACTGAACAGTTCACATGAACACGTGAAGCCGCCTTGCACTGAATCAGATCTCTGGTCCATCACGGTCAGTCTTGTCCACTCAGACTGGCCGTGGCTCTCCAGGGTCTCAGACAGAAGGTCTCTCACATCACCTGTGCCTGATCCTTTTAACTGGAGATGCTGCCAGGGATTGAACCTGGGACCTTCTGCATGCCAAGCATAGGCTCTACCACTGAGCTGCAGCCCCTCTTTACCACTCTCCAGGGTCTCAGGCCGAGGTCTTTCGCATCACCTCTTGCCTGCTTCTTTTAGCTGGAGAGGCCGGGGATTGAACCTGGGACCTTCTGCATGCTGGACCACTTACCCATGGCTCCTCCATAATTCAACAGGATTCCTCACACACACACAGCCCGCTGTGTGGAAATTAACAGAGATGTGGGAAAGGGAGCTGCTGCCTCAGGCACACCACCATGGGATTGTGCGCATGCACTGATCCAGAAAAGCATTTTAATGAGCATCTTCCCCAAAGGCAGAAGACCCACTGTGGTTCACCAGAGAAATAATTCCAGAGGAGCAGCCATGCCGGTTCACTGCAGCAAAAAATAAACAGGAGTTCAGCGGTGCTTGAAAGACGGGAAAGTTTTTTTGTTCTAGCCCAGTGGGCTCTAGTTCATGAAGGCTTATGCAAGAATAAAAACATGCTCAGCACACCACACTCCTGATTATTTTTAGCACAGGAAAGTACCAGAAATTCGGGATTGTCCTATGTAAATAAGGGTTGTTGGAGCAAAGGTAATAATCCCAGCCAATTGCAGTCTGTTCTTCCATCTGGCTTTTGTTCATGAGGATAGGTCTGGGTTTGTTTGGATTTAATTACGGGGGAAGACACAGTGAAGCAAATAAATATGTCGAAATAGGAGACTGCAGGATCTCAGTTAAGTACTCTTTGTGTTCCACAATTAAGAGGGATACATTTACATTTACGGTCGGGTTAGAACGGATAAAAGGAAGTACTTCTTCACCCAAAGAGTGATTAACACTTGGAATTCACTGCCACAGGAAGTGGTGGCAGCTACAAGCATGGACGGCTTCAAAAGGGAATTAGATAAGCATATGGAGCAGAGGTCCATCAGTGGCTATTAGCCACAAGGTATAGATAGGGGCTCTGGGGCAAGGGATGCTCTTTCTTCTTGGTGCTTGGGGGGGGGTCAACAGTGGGAGGGCTTCTAATGTCCTGGCCCCACTGGTGGACCTCCTGATGGCACCTGGTATTTCTGGCCACTGTGTGACACAGAGTGTTGGACTGGATGGGCCTTTGGCCTGATCCAACATTGCCGTCTCTTATGTTCTTATGTTCTTACACATTAGTGTCCTATTTTGACATATTTATTTGCTTCACTGTGTTTCCCCCCATGATTAAATCCAAACAAGTTTGGTGTAGTGATTAAGTGCGTGGACCCTAATCTGGGAAAACCGGGTTTGATTCCCCACTCCTCCGCTTGCACCTGGCTGGATGACCTTGGGCAAGCCATAGTTCTGATAAGAGCTGTCCTTGAAAAAAGAGCAGTTTCTGTCAAGAGCTCTCTCAGCCCCACCTACCTCACTGGGTGTCCATTGTGGGGAGGGGAAGGGAAAGGAGATTGTAAGCCACTCTGAGACACCTTTGGGTAGTGAAGGGCAGGGTATAAATCCAATCTCTTCTTCTTCTTCTTCTTCTTCTCCAAATGGTGACCATATAAACTTAGAGCATTATTCCTGTCAGGTCTTTGCATCTGTTAAAACATCATTATGTTGTATGCTAATTCGCCACTCCCCTTCTGCCTATATGTATGGACTGTTGACTTCCACTTCAATGTATCTGAGGAAGTGTGTGTGCACACAAAAGCTCACACCTTGAGTAAAACTTTGTTGGTCTTAAAGGTGCCGCTGGACTCGAACTTTGTTCAGATGTCTTGAAGGACACACGGCTTCCCACCTTCC